AAAAATAAAAAAATTAGTTGTAGAACGGGTCAGTACGGTCGGTCAGTGCAGTGTCGTGCAATGTTATCGCGTGAGCTGATTGTTTAGTAACTGATGGTGTTAGTGGACATTATAGCGTAATTACTTGTAGTTCCTTGGTCTTTCTCTCTTGTATAAATAATAATAATAATAATAATAATAATAATTCAAAGGATCAATTGGGGAAGTGAACTGCCTGAACGGAGAAAAAACCGCCAGACCCACCAGGACTCGAACCCGGGACCTTGCTTGTCATGAGCAATGCTCTAACCACTGAGCTATGGGACCGGGCTGAACCTACATGTAGAAGGCGCTGACAAGTTTTTCACTCCAAAGGCAGCTCACAACACGTGCCATACATACTGATGGCACTTGGGTCTTTCTCCCTCCCCCAGGGGACCAACCACGGTCAGTTTCTGGACCCTACCAGAAGTGAAAAGAGAGTGATAAGAGAGTCATGACAAGCAAGGTCCCGGGTTCGAGTCCTGGTGGGTCTGGCGGTTTTTTCACTGTTCAGGCAGTTCACTTCCCCAATTGATCCTTTGAATTTGAAGTTCTCCCAATCCTTTCAAAAATTATCACTCTCTTTTCACTTCTGGTAGGGTCCAGAAACTGACCGTGGTTGGTCCCCTGGGGGAGGGAGAAAGACCCAAGTGCCATCAGTATGTATGGCACGTGTTGTGAGCTGCCTTTGGAGTGAAAAACTTGTCAGCGCCTTCTAGGTTCAGCCCGGTCCCATAGCTCAGTGGCTAGAGCATTGCTCATGACAAGCAAGGTCCCGGGTTCGAGTCCTGGTGGGTCTGGCAGCTTTTTCTCTGTTCAGGCAGTTCACTTCCCCAATTGATCCTTTGAATTTCAAGTTCTCCCAATCCTTTCAAAAATAATAATAATAATAATAATTTCGAAAGAAAAGGTGACAGCACCGACGCAATCCACACAGTCAAGTAAGCCAATTCCGTAACCGAACGTTTTCGTTCCCTTCTCATCATGGGTAAATACAGGGAATAATGGAAAAATGGAAAATACAGCAACTTATAGAACAAAAGCATAGATTGAGAACTCACACTATACGCGTGGGAAAATAAAATTCAGCTGAACAAGTCAAAAACAGGGTGAAGGTGACGAAATGACTAAAACATCATGAAAACGTCAGTGAGAAGAAGCATTCCTGACACTTTCACGAGGATTAGCGCCAAACAACTGAAGCGACAAAACATTTTCCTTCCGTACGGACCGGATAAATGTCTGGTAGTACTACGCCTGCCCTGGGTTGGCTCTGGTTCTGCATATGTCGAGAAGGAAGTTCGCCATATTGTCACTGCGTCTTATCCGTGCGTCAAATTGTATGTCGCGTTTGGGACGACTCGTGCATTCAAGGTGCTGACGGATGTTCTGCCTACCCTTTCCACAAGTAAAATCATCTACTTTTTTCAATGCCGGCAGTGTGAGAGTCGGTATGTGGGCAGAACTGTTCAGCACCTTGGCGCACGAATCCGTCAGCATTCTTCATTTTCCCTTCTGGTTTAATCATTACACGTATTAATTTATATTATTTGGTGCAATACTAGCGCCCCTTTCTCGCACCAAATTATTATTTTTGCTACCTGACCATGCAACCATGACCCTTTTTTCGATGCCAGGTTGCAACGCTAACGCCGAGACCCCTGGTCGGTCGAGTTGCTCCCTGTACATCGGCACGTCGTCCCTACATCCCCTGTGTCTTGTCTTGTGTTTGTCTCCACATGTCTCTTTGTAGGGCTGTGTTCCCAATAAAAAATAAATAAAAAATAAATAAAATAAATAAAAGCATGTACCGCTGAGGTTAGTCCCGGGACACGCACGTGATTCTCGTCCTCGACGTGGTCGCCCTCCTAAATGTGCGTCGACTGAGGTTCCGTCACGTGAAACATTGTCCCAGTCCGAGGTTTCGTCTGGCGCAGTAGCACAATCGACTTCCTCATCGAGAGCAGCGCCATCACTCTATCGCCGAATCGCGTTATTGAGAGCGGAAAGGAGGAAGGAGCAGTACTCCCACGTAATATCTTACATCAGATGCCGTCTCTCATTTGCCCTGTTGCGATCATGCATCATGTGTTTGCGGGGTTCACGGGGTCTTTTCCGTAAGCGATCGGTTCGGCATCCGGAGTCTGCTGAGCTGGTTGTTGCTGAGGCCCAGGTTGCTCGCATGTGAGAATCTATAAATTGCAGCAGATTATTTTTATTATAAATACTGGACATGGATATTGAATTAAACTGTACTCAGTGACTTTTTACATTCTACAGGCTACGTTTTATTACATTATTATTATTGTAAAGTTTTCCTTTTGATCTTGTCTCTTATTGTTGTGACCTTTCCACAATAAAAAATATAAAAAACTTCCTCATCGACGGTATGTGCTGGGCTTGGGCCGGCCCAAGTCGGCACAGCAAAGAGGTGCAGACCTGTGAAAACAACACCGAAGAAGATAATGCCAGGGACACCCAGTCGACAAGTCACTCGCAGCCAGGTGAGGATGCGTACTGGAGGAGACGAACAGGCGACGATACTGGAAGTGACAACGAGCGTAAGTGGGAGGAAGCGTGGAAGACCACCACGAAAGCCACTGATCAAGACAACGGAAAAGTCAGACACCGGACGAGTGGCCGGGCGGTGTGATGGAAGGGACGAGTCCGGACCTGCAGCATCGGAAGTGACAACAAGGCGTCTGCCCAGTGGAAAGGACGAGTCAAGAGCTGCGACATCGGAGGTGACAAAAAAGACGAGAAATTCCAACGGTCAGCAGTCGGCGATCAAGAGTCATCTGTCGGTGAGTGATAGTTGTCGTGAGTTGTACAGAGATGATGTTTTCTCAGTTTTTGGCCCGTGACAGATCTGTATTACATTTGTCTGTTTTGGAAGCGTTATATATTCGCAAGTTGTCCCCTGAACTGTGTGTCCAGAAGGAAAATGTTTTGTCGCTTCAGTTGTTTGGCGCTAATCCTCGTGAAAGTGTCAGGACTGCTTCTTCTCGTTGATGTTTTTATTATGTTTTAGTCATTTCTTCACTTTCACCCTGTTGTTGACTTGTTCAGCTGAATTTTAATTTTTCCACACGTATAGTGTGAGGTTCTCAATCTATGCTTTTGTTCTATAAGTTGCTGTATTTGATATTTTTCCATTATTCCCTCTATTTACCCACGATGAGAAGGGAACGAAAACGTTCGGTAACGGAATTGGCTTACTTGACTGTGTGGATTGCGTCGGTGCTGTCACCTTTTCTTTCGAAATTGGATACGCCTCCAATTTTTTCCTTTTTTTCCTTGCAATAATAATAATAATAATAATAATGCAGGTCGCATGTCTCCCAAATAATGGGTTCCACGCATCTGTCAACTGTTTCATCATGAAATAGATTGCAGCAGGAAGAATAGCATACGAAAAAACCATAATAATATTATTATTATACAGGTTCTAGCACATGACAAGTACATGCCATTTTTTTACACCGATTTTGTCAATGAAGTCCAGCCATAGCTTTTTGTCCCGTGCAGTGTTGAGGCAAACCTCGAGCATGTGTCTGAGAGGGGAGATGTCGGATTTCACCACATCAATCCACCGAAGCCTTGGTCGTCCTCGTGGACACTTGATCTTTGACGTGTCGATGGCCATGGTTGACTGCTTAGGTATGGCAGAAATCTATGTGAGTGAATACTAAGGGAGTGATAAAGCCCTGTATTGAACAGTGCGCCCCCCCCCCCCCCCCCAACACACCAGCTTGTAACCAAGCGCCTGTGCAAGTAACAGTTTGGTGTTCCTTCTGGTAATGTTCTTGTCCATGTCATTGAACTGGTGGTTTCAGGTCAATTCAGGTTCAACATCGCAGTTCTTGTCCTTTCTGTTGAGTCGTGATAGTCTAGAGTAAACTAACTTTAGGCTCTGTTTTTCTTTGTACCTTCTTTGTTATGTGCGGGATGACGTCAATGTACTAGCATTGACAAAAAATAGTGCCCTCTCTGGAATACAGTGAGTGCGTTCGATTATGCACGCGAATCGATTCACGAATCGATTCGCGCTATTCACATCACCCCATATGAATAGGGTGAATGGATTCCGAATCGATTCCAGCGCTCATGATATGAAAATCGAACGACTTGAAAGCATGCGAATGGATTCATGAATCGATTCAAGAGCATAATCGAACGCAGCCCGGCAGTCAGACCTCGCTTATCTGAGCAACAAGACCTGCTATTTTACAGATCGCTAATGCTACCGGACATGTTATATGGATCCCACAATGCCTTCTTATCGGTTCTCTCTGCACACCAACGGCATCAGATTTCGGTGCTCGACAAGTGATGTATCCGCTGCGTTGCCAACCAGCCATTCCCCTCCCACACAGATCCCATCTACACCCGTCTAGGCCTCATCCCCATCATCCAAAACGCCCATTGTAAACTCCGCCTCCTCTTGCTTCGTATCCACACCGCCAGAATTAGTAATCTCCAGCCCAAGCGCCTACGTCGCCAGACTGAAGGCGTCACTCGGACCAATGATCCAAATGCGTATGTTGTTCCTGCCACCAGGCGAGTCTCTGCTGATAGATTATGGAATGCCCTGCCCCAAGAGTTCAAGTCCCTCGCCTGCAATAGATCATTCAAGAGACTTTTAAAGGTTTCTTTTTATGGCTAGCCAGCATCTAGGCTTGGACTTGGAGTCGTGACCCAACTGTGACTCAACTGTGCTTTTTTGTTTTCGTTTTGTTTGTCTTTTGTTCTTTTTTTCCTTTTTCCCTTGTACGTTTTCTTCTCCTTCTTTTCCTTTTTTTCCCTTTCTCTTTTTCTTTTTGAGTATTTGCAATCTGTGTTTTTCTCTCTTTCGTGGAGGCTTGCTTGTTGTATCCTTGGCTTTTGGCCATTACTTTATCGCCACCATAATATTGGGCACCATTGCCCGTTTTGTCTGCGATACAAAATAAAATTTCAACAACAACAACAACAGAGAG